CCAACTTCGAAATTATGAAAGAGATTTCAAAAGGAAAAAGTGTACCTACAGAGCCAGAAAAGAAGGAATGCTATGTGTTCCAGTTCAGAAACAGAGGCGTCTTCCTTACCCTGATATTTGTTAACACAATTAGTCCAGCCTCTTTCTTTCTGAGGGAGCTTGGCGAGGGCCCAACTAGCATGGTTGGGTGAAGGCTCTCGACCCTCAAAAGAAACCAGAACAGGATCATCGTCTACAATCAGCAAATGAGCAATGATGGCCACGTCCATCAGGGTCGGGCCGATAAGACCGGAGGGGAGGAGGAATACACCCATCTGAAAATGCCAAAAGGCCGCCATCGCTAGTAGGGCTTTGTCGTGAAGATAAAGGGGTTGAGTCGAGAGGATGATGGCTTTGTCGATGCCTTGTTTCTTCCATTGTTCTTCAAAATGGGGAAGAAGCGTTGCGTACCATTTACGGTAGGCGTCTTTAGGATCAGTGAGATGAGTTTTGATACTGTCCAGGAGACGTTCCGGCTTGAAGGCAGCGTCATTGATGATTATTGGAGAAACCTTGAAGATAATGAATCTCATTTGATCAGCATCTTCGTTGGCGGTGCAGTAACGGCGAACGGTAGGGGTAAGGACCTTCGAAGCCACAAAGGAAACCGATGGGTTAGTACCATCGAAAGGTAAACCAAGAACGTATTGATTAGCCATTTTTCTGGGCAAGTGAAGAAGACGAAGAGGAAGAGGGTTTTGGTGGAGGCAGTTGGATGGAGTAACAAAGAAAAATCTCAGAATTCTGAACACGTGAATTTGAAAGCGTGAAGGAAGGGTTTTACATAAACCCCTTGATTTGACGCGAATCAGTGCAATGATCACACTGTTCTGCAAACCCCTAAAACGTCACGTCCCACACAGTTCGAGGAGTGATTGTTAGAGGTTGGGCGGGAGGAGGCAAGTTGTTGAGCACAAAAAAACGATGGATAGGGTTTTCGAGAATGGGCCTATCAAATTAAGTTAAGGAGTGGTGCAGAGTTTAATTGGCTTGTTAATAGTAACAGGATCTTAAAAGGAGAGTACGAAACGCTGTTAAGGAAAAGGCTTCCTCGGGAGAAAGCAAAGATCGAGTGTAATGAGGTCGGGTGCTGAGATCGGGCGTGATCAGGTCGGGCTCAGAGGTTGGGCGTGATAAGGTCGGGCTAGGAGGTCGGGCGTGATAAGGTCGGGCACTGAGGTCGGATGTGATCAGGTCGGGCACGGAGGTCAGACACGATAAGGTCGGGCACAGAGATCAGACGTGATAAGGTCGCCATTAAGATCAGACGTGATAAGGACGGGCAGTGAGGTCGGACGTGATCAGGTCGGGCTCGGAGGTCAGGCGTGATAAGGTTGGGCACTGAGGTCGGATGTGATTAGGTCGGACACGGAAATCAGACATGATAAGGTCGGGCACAGAGATCAGACGTAATAAGGTCGGGTGTTAAGATCGGATATGGTAAGGTCGGGCACGAAAGGTCGGACGTGATAAGGTCGGGTACTGAGGTCGGACGTGATCAGGTCGGGCTCAGAGGTCGGGCGTGATGAGGTCGGGCACTGAGGTCGGATGTGATCTGGTCGAGTACGGAGGTCGGATGTGATAAGGTCGGGCGTTATATAGGTCGGGCGAAACGAAGTCGGGCAAGTCAGGAGGTCAAACAAGGGGAAAACGGACAAGAGGAGACGGAGCAGCAGGTATGCAGGTCGGGCGAAAAAGCAGTTTCTGGGTAGTTGAAGGAAGTTTCAGCCGATGAGCAGATTTGAAGGCACGACTTGGTGGTGGCGGTTGACATGGGTTTTAAATAGGTTTGTTCGTGACCTAAGAAACCATCTTCAATCGACATCAAATTCAAAAGAATTTCCTTTGGGGATCACCACTTTATTTTCAGTCTGTAGTTTTATTTTCCTATTTTATTTATGTATCCTACAGTGTTTAGAGATTCCTAATCTCAGGCACTAATTATATCAAATTCGAAGATAATTTCCTATTTTCGGATTTAACTTTTTATTGTTGAAAAATCGCATCAACAATAATAAAAAAGTAAGGATAGTTTTATGGTGATATTGTTATTTATGGAAATGAGACTATTGTTTTCAGACGGATGGAGTATTATTTTGCATCGGATATTATCTCGGATATGTACCCATAACAGATATCTCGTCGTTGTTTTAGATAGATCGGAAATTCCGAAGCTATTTGAGTAGTCTCAGAATTTTCGATCTTATTTTTGTAGGTTCGAAAATTCCGATACTACTCAAAATAGTTTCGGAAATTTGAATAGTCTAGGAATTTCCTATACAATAGAATTCTTTTTAAAAAAAAAAATTTGTATAATGTTGATTCCCGCCGCTGCATTGCTGCCCGCGCCACCCCCGTCACCGCTGCCGTCGCCGGAAAAGAAGGTGACGCACACTATTTGTTGATATAGGGGTAGCGAGAGCTTTCCGCAGTTCATTCAATCTAAGAATCCACAGTGGGATCCCACCAAAGAAAACTTCAAAGCCTTCTTCCCGACGGTAAGGAGGAGTGTAAGAAAGAAAGAATTGAGGAAGGAAAAGGGAAAGAAGAACCGGTAAGTGCAAATAGGTTTGTCTGTTTAGGTTTACTAATATATATATTAATAAAAATAAAAGTAATGTTAAAATTTAATAATAGATGCATTAAATTCTCTATTTCCATTTTCTCTATTCCTTCTCTTCCATTCAATAAAAAGTTACCACATGTAATGAGACAAAAAAAGTTATCTATATTTCTTTTTATTATTTTATTTATTTTTTAGTTTTTTTAAAATAAAATAAAAATTATATTTTATCTCAATTTTTATTATATTATATCTTTGTAAAAATTATTATTTTTCTCAAGATATCACTTATTATTTAGATTCAATATTTACATAATATTTAAAAAAAATTATTTGAATTTGGTATTAATTTTTCTTTTGGATATAATATTTTATGTTTAAATAATAATTATTTTTTAAAAAAAAAAGTGAAGTAAAAATAAATTAAATTAAAATTTCATATTATTTTTTATTATTTTTGAAGAAAATATTTTAATAAATAAGAAAATGTCTAAATCATAAATTTTAATATTTTTTTCATAAAATTTTGTATAAAATATCATTATAAAATTGTGTTTAAACAGTATTTGAACATTATATTTTTAAAATGTGGGAACATATTTTTTTATAGTAAAATAAAAATATAATAAAAATTAAGATAAAAAAATTGTGAATAAGATTTTATTAAAGATATTTTTTTGAAAAAAAAAATAATAAGTGACAAAATTATAGTTAAAAAGAAATACATAAATTTTATTTATATTTTCACTCATTCATGTGGCTCTATTTCATTGGAGGGAATAGAGAAAATTGGGTACTGAGGATTTGATGCCTTAACAGTGTGTTTCTGTTCATCTACTTTTTTCTTAAAAACCTCAAGATCAAATATATATTTTTTATTTTTTTTATAGGATAGTAAATATCAATTTTACATTAAAAACCTCACATCAACCCTTATTTGTATCACATAATACAACTATTAAAATTCAAAATTTTTACTATTTAAATTCCAACTCAAAATCTGAACTCCCAAACAAACACACCCTAGTACTAAAAAATTATAATAATTATAATATAATAGTATTAATTTTGTATATTTATATTTTTAAAATGTTGTTATTTTTATTATATAAATAGTATTTAATTTAAATTATTTTATTTAAAATTTATTTTAATTAATTATGGAAGGTGTGTTTTTTTTTATGAGATTTCATCATAGTTTACTGTTTATTATTATTTTTTTAAAAAAATTCAAATTAAATATTTATTTAAATTTTAATTAAACTATTTAGTTATTTTAATATTAATTTATAATTATTTTATTATAAAATAATTGTTTTTACTAATATATTTCTTAATTACTTATTAATTATATTTTACCTAAATTCTCGTATTTACATTAACGTAGAAAATTTATCCGGGCCAGAGAGAGTATAAATATATATTTAAATAAAATCAAAATTAAAATTAATTAATTAATTTATAGTAGCGGGTGAATTTAAATGATTTGATAGGTTTGGAAGATTTCGATATTAATTAAAATAGGTTCAAAAGCTTCAAGACTAATACAGGTTCGAAATTTTCTGAAACTGTAAAAGTTTGGAATTTCGAAGACTATTTAGAATAGGCTCGGAAAATTTGAAGACTAATTAAAATAGGTTCGGAAAATTTGAAGACTAATTAAAATAGGTTCGGAAGTTCCGAGAATGAAACGGTTCGAAAGTTCCGAGACTGAAACGGTTCGGAATTTTTCAAAACTAATTAAAATATGTTCAAAATTTTCCTAGACAGTAAAAATTCGGAATTTTCGAGACTATTTAGAATATGTTCGGAAATTTTCGACACTAATTAAAATAGATTCGGGAGTTCCGAAACTAATAAAAATTTGGAAGTTTTTTAGACTAATAAAAATTTGGAATTTTCTGAGACTAATTAAAAGAGATTCGGAATTTTCGATACCTTAAATATTTGAAATTTTTCGAAACTATTTAGAATATGTTCAGAAATTGTGAAACTATTCAAGATAATAAAATATATATTTAGTATAGCCTCGAAAAATTTGAAAACAAAATTACATAGTATCAGAGTTTGTTAGTAAAAAAAATAATTAAATTTGAATCTAATACTCTACAAATCAAGCCCGACAGATAGTCACACTTAGCTAACCATGTGTGACAAGTAACCTAAAATCACAAGTCCAACTCCAACACCAACCAATAGGCAATTCATTTCTTTGTTAGGAAAAGTGTTGTTATAATACATTTTGTTAGTCGATGTTTTGTCTCGTCCCCGCACTCTAAACATGAAAGATAATAATACTAATTGTGAGTCCCCACAGCCACAGTGAAGAGCTTTTCTCAATTTTCCACTTATTTATGTTTCTGAATTCTTTGATCGGATATCCAACTGATTACTCCTCATGGCCCTACACATCGCCATTCTCCCTACTCCAGGCATCGGCCACCTCATCCCATTGGCCGAATTCGCCCGGAAGCTCTACCGCCGCCACCAAATCTCCTCCACATTCATCATCCCCACCGACCAAGACGCCCCCTTTTCCCCCCGCCAGCAAACCCTCCTCGCCACCCTCCCTCCGCCCATCAACCACCTCCTCCTCCCCGCCGTCAACCTCCACGACTTGCCGCCCGACGTCCGCGCCGAGACTCGCATCGCCCTTACCGTCGCACGCTCTCTGCCGTCCATCCGCGCCGCCTTCAAATCCCTCCTCTCCTCCTCCAGTCCGATTGCCGCCGTCGTTGTTGACCTCTTCGGAACAGACGCATTCGAAATCGCTCGCGAATTCCAACTCCCTCCCTACATCTTCTTCCCCTCCACCGCCACGTGTCTCTCCCTCTTCCTCCACCTGCTGGAGCTTCACCGAACCACGCCGTCGGAGTACCGTGACTCTCCAGAACCCTTCCGCCTTCCCGGCTGCACTCCTATTAGCGGCGAAGACCTCGTCGACCCTCTCCAGGACAGGTCCAACTCAGCCTACCAATGGATTCTTCACTACTGTAGACGATATCCATTAGCAGAAGGAATCATCGTCAACACCTGCACCCAGTTGGAGCCCGGTCCCATCAAAGCTCTGCAACTGCAAATACCCAATTTGGAAAACCCTAACCCTAAAATCTACCCAATCGGGCCTCTGACGCACAGCGCTGCAATTTCCAATCAAATGACGGGACCTTCAAGCTCCAGCATCATCCTCCAATGGCTGAATCAGCAGCCGATCGGTTCAGTGCTATACGTCTCCTTCGGCAGCGGTGGCAGCCTCCGCCATGAGCAGCTAATTGAGCTCGCGCTAGGGCTGGAGCTCAGCGAGCAACGGTTTTTAATGGTGGTGAGGTGCCCCAGCGACAAATCGGCCAGCGCCGGATATTTCAGCACCGACGACTCGAGCGATCCGTTGTCGTATTTGCCGGACGGATTTCTGGACCGGACGGCGGGGCGCGGCCTGGCGGTGCCGTTCTGGGCGCCGCAGGTGGAGATATTAGAGCACAGGTGTACTGGGGGGTTTCTGACGCACTGCGGGTGGAATTCGACACTGGAGAGCGTGGTGAGCGGGGTGCCATTGCTGCTGTGGCCGCTTTTTGCGGAGCAGAGGATGAATGCTGTGATGCTTCATGAGGAATTGAAGGTCGGGGTGAGGGTGCTGTCGGAGAGTGGCGGCGGAGGGGCGGTGGTGGGGAGGGAGGCGGTTGCGAGGGCTGTCAGGGATTTGATGGGAGGGGATATTGGGGATAGAAATCGGAGTCGGATTAGGGATTTGAAGATAGGGGCGGCGGCCGCCATTGGAGAGGGTGGAGCTTCTGCACAGGCGTTCGATCAGTTGGCGGAGAGGTGGAAGGAAGAAGGAGCGAGGCGGAAGTAAGAGTCGTCGTGAGTGTTGCTCTCGCGGTGAATCTTAGCCGTTGGGTCTCAGATTTGGAATTAAAAATAGTGATTTCGTGCTTTTAATTGTGATCACATAGTGTGATTATTATCGTGTAAAGATTAGATATTTTTAAATAATGATTTACAGTATGGCTGGAAATGCTTTTGTTTTTTAAATATATATATATATATATATATATTCCAATTGAATTGACACACTCTCTAGGTGCATTAGCTAAGATTTTATAAATATGTATTATTAAAAAGTAGTATAATATTTATTTTATCTTTGAAAGTATTCTGTCCGTCCTAAATATCGTGCAATATTTGGATTTGACACGAGAATTTAAGTGAGAAGTATTAAGTATGCTAATTTGAGATAATTTGAATATTAAGTGATATGATTGAAAAAAAAATGATTATTTATTTTTTTATTTGATGTGATAAAATGAAGTGTATATTAATATATATATATATAAATATTACTCCCTCTGTCCCATTGAAAGGTTATAATTTTTCATTTTCGTTCGTCCCAAAACAAGGTTATCATTTTCTAATTTAATAATTGTACTACCTACTTAACATAATAAATACTCTTTCAACTTACAAAATATTACACAAATATCATTACTTTTATATTACACCATACTAATAGGGGTATTTTTGTCTTTTTTACTACAATCCAATATAATACTAATATTAAAAAATCTACGTGCAAAAAGCAAACGTCACCCTTCGAACGGGACGGAGGGATTATTAATTATTTCTAAATTTGAAAATATTGCAGTGAGTTTGGGACAATAAAAAATGAAATGTTGCAGAGTATTTGGAACGGAGGAAGTACATTATAAAAATATTTAATTAGTTATAATATTTTTAACTACGAAATATTTTTGTCATTTAACAACAAAAATTAATTTTATCGTTAAAAATTAATTAGTCATAATATTTTTGTTATGAATTTTATTTTTATAGTAAAAAGTTTTAGCTACAGAATAATATTTCCATAGTTATATATTTTTTTTTAACTTTAATTGCAAAAAACTTATAAAAGTCATATTTGTCGCTAAAGACCTTAACTAATGCGCTATACACGACAAAACTTATTTCGTCAAAAAAATATTTATGCAATAAATTCATTACCCTTTGCTACAAAATCTTTTATAGATAAATTTCAAATTTTTTTGTAGCGATAAGATTTTAGTTTTTAGTTGAGAGTTATTTTTTCAAAAAAATCGGTAGACGCGGGGTGTATTATATTAAATGGTAAGCCTACTAAAATTTCGCAATTTTCACTTGGAAAGCTCGTTCGGAATTTAACTTTCAAAACAATTTATTTTTAACTTTGGAATTTGCATCAGAACGACATTTGGAGTAAAAATCATTGTATTTTACTGGTCTTGAAATTTTCGAGGCTGATGAAAAAGTCTCGAAATATTTGAATTAAAACCCGATGCTCCAAAGGGCAAGAGCATATTTTCTAAGTTTGTTTCAAATACCCTTAAAATTGGGTAAAAGTGTACTATTTGATACATAGTCCCGAGTTTGACTAATTATTTATAATTATTTATATTATAAGATAATTATTTTTACTAATACATTCTTAATTATTTATCAATTATATTTATTCTTAATTAACGTGGTTACCTAAATATGTGGAACGAATAAAGTAGTAAATTGCATTGAAAACTTTGTGATCATTTCCAAAACAATAATGTTATATTTCAGTGTCAAGTAAAAAAATTTAGGTTACAGTTTGTAATTTTTATTTGTTTGTTTATAGATTCACATTGACAATTCTGCCCTCGTTCATTTTCTATAGAAATTGAAATTTATTATTATATATATATATATATATATATATATAGATTCGCACGTTTTTTTACATATAGGCTATATTTGGTGTCAAAATAGTTTTAATTAAATGAAACACTTAAAATTTCACTATTGCTATTTTTCAATAATGGCCTGGTTACTAAATATTTTTTAATTTTTGTTTTTTATAAAGTGTTTTATATAGACACCACTAATATGATAAAATATTTTTTTATAAAGTGTTTTATATAGACACCGCTGATATGATAAAATGACGGTGATTGTTTTTCTGATAAAAAAAAATATATATATGATGATGATTGTTAGTGTGCTGAATACATTTGTGTGTTTGTTCGGGGGATTGGATTAGATTTCTACTATTCATCCCATTTTTTTCTCCAAAAAATATCAAATCAAACACCTATTTTTTATTTTTTATATTATACTAAAAATCAATTTTACATTCAAAACATCACATCAACGCCTATTTATATCACATCATACAACTATTCAAATTCAAAATTTTTACTATTCAAATTCCACCTCAAAATCCAAACCACCTAACAAACTAACCCTGATGTTGACAAACAACCTTTAATATTGACCGACACTAAATTAAACATAAAAACACTGTATACAATTTATAATGATACAATACAAATTGCCCTAATCTATTTTTCTATAGAAATTAAAATTTATTATGTACTCTTATAATATATGTCTATACTCACATATAACATCTCACTATACCTTTTTATTTATTTATTCAAATATCCATATACAAGATTCGCATGTTTCTTTATAGACAGGGGATATGTTTGTTGTCAAAATAGTTTTAATTAAATGAAAATTTAAGATTTCTCTATTGCTATTTTTCAATAATTGTCTGTTGATTATATATATATATTTTTCCACTTTTGTTTTTTATAAAGTGTTTTATATAGACCACTGATTATGATAAGATGATGGTGATTCACTACTAGAAAATTCACTATTTATAGAGGATATTTCGCTTGTAATAATAATTTCAAAATAAATAGTAGCATTTGTAACCAAATAGATCATGACAAAAAAATTACTACTTTAGTCAACATTTTATTCTTTTTATGTCGGTGATTTGTTTGTGACAAAAAAATTACTACTTTAGTCAACATTTTATTCTTTTTATGTCGGTGATTTGTTTGTAACAAATACAAATATTACAATATGTTGTCACATACATATTTGTTACGCTTATCAATCCAAAATAAAAATAAAAATAAAAATAAAAATACTTTAAATAAAAAATTAATATTTTTGAGTACAAAAGTAAGATATGAGTTTGAGCTCAGTAAGTATGAATGCGTTGGCCTAGTGGTGGGCCAAATTCATTCGGTTGGGTTGGTTGTTGGGACCCCACCGATCAGACAGTTGGTCCTGCAGACAGTAGACTCATCCAAATGGCCTAGTGGTGGGCCAGATCAATTCGGTTGAATTGATTGTTGGGGCCTAACCGATCGTACGGTTACACTTGCACACAGTAGACTTATTTGAGCTTGGGCCTTGCGGCGGTAGGTTATAAAGGTCACCGACACGGAAGCAGTTTTGGACGGTTCAGATTGGTAACTAGCGTGGAAATGGTTCTGGACGGTTTAAGATTGTTACGTATATTAGCAATTCATATGAGAAAGAGCGGGCATCTTCAATCATACAAAAATTTCAAGAATCTCATTGAAGGTCATATTTATTTACCGTTATTTGACATTTCCTTCGGCTCTTTGTTTATCAATTGAGAATTTATAGTTCCAAGTTTTACTGTTCAAGTTTGAAATATATTTTCAAATTTTACTTTCTATTGTTGAATTTACCATTAACAAATTGGCGACCACAGTGGGAGTCGAGGCAAGATTGTTGATCCTACGTCCAACGAGCATTTTATACAACTCCGTTCTGGTCAAATAGTCACTAGGAACCTCGTGGTGGGTTCCCAGTCTCAAGGCCTCAGTACAACCGTCGGGGCCACTTCGACCACATCAACGACTATCCCACCATGGGGATCTCTCAAATATCATCTGAATGGTTAAATCATGTTCAACAAATGAACAATCAGCAAACAACAACCATGCAGATACTGTTTCACGAGCAACAAAACTTAATGCATAATATGCTAGATAAAGCCTTGTCAAGAGTTACACTTCGCTCCACGCCTTCACCTCCAGGAATGTCTCATTCGCGCTTTCAGGCAAACTTTGCAGGGCCTTCATTCGTGGACAACACCATTCCCAATGCTACGACCCCTAGGAGGTCAGAGAGAAAAAACTCCCATCATTTTTCCAAACAATATTTCTCTGGGGACTCGGCTTGAGCCTTTTCAGAACAGTTTATAACAGATGACCGACTTGGAGGTCATCCTCATGATCCTGTTCCAGTTCTGGATCATCATCGGTTTATACTAGACCTGGACAATGTCGCACGAGTTCTGAAAGTCCATTTTGGTATGACTCCACAGGTTACCAATCGGCCCGCATATCAATAACCGTTCCCTGAGAGAATCATCAATGAACATCCTCTTTCCAGGTTGAGCATATGGGACGCTTCACGGCTCAGTTGGGACAAATCAGTAATAATCTATTTCATAAGTTGCAATTGTTCGGTCTATCATTGACCAAGATGGCTTTCTCTTTTATTGTCAACCTACCACCTAGGCAAATTCACACATGAGAAGGATTGCAGATAACCTTTCATGCTAGGTTCTTCAATCATGTTCTAATGGTGTCTTTAACCGATTTGTTGGAAATGAGACAGATGCCAGAAGAATCTTTTGCACAGATGACTAATCTTGTGGTCCAAAACATGCATGGACGACTACAAGAGGCATTAATTGCCTATGATGTGGAAGATCTGGCTAGTCTAGCTTCTAAAACTGGGCGTTTGGAGTCATTATTAAGGGAAAAAAATTTAGAATTTTCAACGCTACAAGGTGCAACAGATGACTAGCATGGAAGTAGAGGCATACATCCCAGAGATCGATCCAATGGTCAAAGTAGAAGAAATGACGACATAGATAGTCAGTGGGAAACCATACGTTTGCCCAAAGTTGAAGCCTATCCCGGGAACAGAAGGGAAAGATCAACCAAATTTTAACAGTACCAAAGCAGATGAGATCTTTGACATCCTTCTGGCGAATGGGCAAATTCGGATTCCTAAAGGACAAAAATTGGCAAAAAAAGAGGAAATTAAGGGAAGACCTTACTGCAAGTGGCATAATTCCTTCACTCATAATACCAATCAGTGGACACATTTCAGAAAGGAGATTCAAAGGGCTATCAAAGCTGGACGCTTCAAATATTTCACCT